TTTCCGGAACTATTTCAAATTTGGCATTTGAAGTTCGTAATGAATTCTACATCCTATGACAGAAAATTGTCTGTACATGTCCACGTTTTATATCCTATATTCGGTATTTTTATGATTTTAGCTTTTTTTTACACATTATTTTTACATATTTTTTTTTCAAGTTTTGCATATGAATATTGTGACAAAACTCGCCTATTCAAGTCCACGTCGTCCTATAGACCTAACAGATTTTTTAAAGGACTTAATTTTTTTGGAAATTGCCAAATTTGTACCATATGGTAAGTTCGGCTGGGCTGGGGTTTATAAAATGTCGGCCCGGGCGAACTTAATGCTTTTTACTTGTTAGCTTCAATTTAATAATCTACTGAATTTTTATTTTAATTTTTTAAAAAAAAATTGAATTTTGTCACGCAGTGTAATCTTTTAAATTATTAATCTATATTTTTAATCATTCTTAAAATAAGACACCCTTTTGAAAAATTCGCCACTTAATGTAAAAAATCACTGCTAGAAATCAACAGAAAATTTAAATAATTTTCGAATATTGTGTGTTTACAATATGGGTGAGTTGACGATTACGTCTACTACCCAACATCGCTACTGCATGCATTGGTTGCCCCTGCAAACACTTTCCAACTTGGGAAACCAATTAAATGAATTTCTTATTTTTTATACCCTACACCACATAGTGGTAAGGGTATTATGTCTTTCTGCATTTGTTTGTAACGTGGAGAAGGAAGCGAGATAGACCCATAGTTACTTTTGAGAATCTCCATAGAATCACTTTCTCAGTTGATTTATGCATGTATTTTATTGTGCACCAAACGTGTAATATCAGCCCGAATAGTATGGAATTTTGCACATACAACCAAATTAGGCCTGAAAATAAGTATGCCAAATTTGATCGAAATCGGTTCAGATAAAGCTATATATCCCATACATATTGTTCATCCGATTTGTTATTTTTGTCCTCCGCAGCCTTTATATACACTCTGTAACAATAATATTTGGGGAAATAATTCAAATGCAGCTCAGAAATATCTTTACCAAAATTTATCGAGATCGGTTCAGATTTGGATATATCTCCCATATATAACTTCGTCCGATTTACCTTTTATTGTGCACCAAACGTCTAATATTTGCCCAATGGGGATGAAATTTGGCACTTACGACCGAATTGAGTCTAGAAGCTAGTATGTCAAATTTGGTGAAGATCGGTTCAGATATGGCTATAGCTCCCATATATATTGTTCAACCGATTTGTTATATTTGTTACCCACAGCCGTAATATGCACTCCGTAACAACGATATTCAGGGAAATATATCAAATACAACTCAGAAATATCTTTGCCAAATTTTATCGAGATCAGTTCCGATTTGGATATAGCTAGCATATATATCTTTATCTGATTTCAAATTAATTTTGCACCTAATGGTTCGGCATATTTAGTCCTTTGAACTTTAAATTATAATTTTAATCATAGCGTGTATGATTGATACTCCCATAAAAACTTTTAATTGTTATGTTTGAGCTCTACTAAATTAGCAAAGTGGTGCAGGGTATCCTAAAGTCGGCCCCGCCCGACGTTAAGACTTTCTTTACTGGTTTTATTTGCCTTTTTCCTATTCATATATCAATTTGTCATATTCTTATATAATTATTATTTTGATTTTCAATGACCCTTCGAGGAATAAAAACAAAATTTTGGTTTAAATTTTCAAATTAGTTTTTATTTCGCTAATAAAAAAAATGTTCGTTCGTTGTATAGAGTAAAACTAAGTAAATATATATATTTTAGATATAAAACGAGAGTATTAACAACTTTTCGCTAACAAGCTAATGTTTTCTGGTTTGTTTGACTTAAAAATTAAATTAAAAACTAGAAACAATATAAAAAAGTATGATAATCATGTTCATTATTAAAGCATTACAAAATGTCTTATGAGAATAGTTCCCGAACACGTAGTGTTTGGAGCGATAAGTTTTAAAATTAGTAATTTATTTATATATATAAAAATCATAGTTCATGTAAGAAAAAAAGTTTGTATACATGAGCAGGGATTTGGGAAGACGTGATACATCACTAAGGTTTGGTTTTTGGTTATAAAGCTTAACATTAGGGATATAATGTTTGGTTGTTTTTTAGGAACGATTTGTATGTAGTAGTATTAAATTTAAAAAAATAAAATTAAAACTAAATTAATAAAAAATAAAAATAAAAATTAAAATTATCTAAAAAATAGTTAAAAATAAAAATTAGGTATAAAATCAAGTTTTGAATTTGGCAATAATCAAAATAGTAAATATTATTTAGTGAAAAATAAAAAATAAGTAATAAAAAATTTAAATTTGGTATGAATATCTTTTTTGAATTTGGCAATATTTTTCACACAATTATTTTTGTACATTTTATAAAAATAATAAAAATAATAAAAATTATTTACTTAAAAATAAAAATTAATTAATAAAATATAAAAAATATTTTTCAAAATCTTTTTTGAATGTTGCAATATTTTTACATCATTATTCTTTTATATTTTACAATTTTTGTTGATTTTGTGCAAAAGTTGTAAAGGTAATATTATAATTTTTTTTAATGTTTTTTTTATCTTATTATCTTTATAGTTTGATTTTTCTAATTTGACCAAATTTGTACAAAAAATAATAGAATAAAAATTATTTCGTTAAAAATAAAAATTAATCTATAAAAATAAAAATAAAAATTAATTAATTAAAAATAAAAAATGAAATTTAGCAAAATTGTTTACATCATTATTGACAATATTTTAACATAATTTTACAATATTGTATTTTAGTTATTTTGGCAAAAATTTTAAAAATATTATTTAAATTTATTTTATTGTTTTCTATTAATTCAATTATGGTCTAATTTTTGAAATTTGGTAATATAGTTACAAAAATGTTTGTTTGTTTGTTTGTTTGTTTTTATAAGTATTTAAAAAAAAAATAAATATGTATTTTTCTGAATTTAATAATAACTTCACAATAGCTTTAAATATTTATAATATTATTATTATTATTCTGATTATAATCACTTTTTTTGAATTTGCCTATATTTTTAACATCAAGACTTTGACAAAAGTTTTAAAAATATTCCATAATATTTTAAATATTAATATTTTATTATTTTTATTGATTGATATTGTTAAATTTTAATAATTATTTTTTTTTGTTGATTTTGGCAAAAATATTAAAAATATTATCAAAATTTATTTATTTTTGTTATTTAATTTTTTATAGCCTAATTTTAAAAAAATTACGTCCTTTTTTTGAATTAAGTAATATTTATACAATCATTTTATTATTTTATTAATTATTTTTTTATTTATTATATATTTATTTTATTTACTATTTTATTAATATTTTTTTGTTATTATTTATAATTATTATTATATTATTATTATTATTTTATATTATTTTTATTATTTATTTATTTTCATTTATTTATTATTTTTTATTTTATTATTATTATTATTATTATTATTATTATTATTATTATTATTATTATTATTATTATTATTATTATTATTATTATTATTATTATTATTATTATTATATTATTATTATTATTATTATTATTATTATTATTATTATTATTATTATTATATTATTATTATTATTATTACTATTATTATTATTACTATTATTATTGTTATTATTATTATTATTATTATTATTATTATTATTATTATTATTATTATTATTATTATTATTATATTATTATTATTATTATTATTATTATTATTATATTATTATTATTATTATTATTATTATTATTATTATCATTATCATTATTATTTTATATTATTATTTAATATTATTATTGTATTACATTATTATTATTTTATTATTTATTATTTTTTTATTTATTATGTTTATGTTTTACTTATTTATTATTTTTTATTTTATTACTTTTTATTTTTTATATATTTTTTTTAAATTCAAGTATTTTATTATTTTTATTTTATTTATTATTTCATTATTATTAATCTATTATTATTATTTTTATATTATTATTTTATTATATATTTTTTATATTTTTTTATTTTATTTATTTATTTATTATTTTTATTTTATTATTATTATTTTTTATATTATTGTATTATTATTTACTACTATTATTATTATTATTATTATTATTATTCTTATTATTATTATTATTATTTTAAATTATTATTTTTTTATTTTTATTATTTTATTATTTATTTTATTTTATTTATTTATTATTTTTTATTTATTTTATTTTATTATTATTTATATATTATTTTTCTGACTATAATCACCTTTTTTGAATTTGTACAATTTTTTTCATGTCAATTATTTTTATAAAAATACATACGTTTTTTGAATTACTATATAATTTCTTGAATATAAAAAATTAGAATTTTTAAAAAAATTATGTATTTTTTAATTTTTTTATTAAATCGGATATTATTGATTTTTTTTTTATTAAATCGGATTTAACAAAAAATCACATGGCTTTAAAAAAAATATTTACCTTTTAACGAAACGTGGTAATATAACCAAGATTTTTTCTGTTTATTTAAAGCATTAAATAATTCAAACTCCTCGTAAAGCTATATTTGACTTTTGAGATCGTTTTTCTGGTAACTCTTTACCAAAGGGATGATTTCCCCTCAGAGACTCGTGTGTTTGAAGCAGGGCAAGCTACTGGAAATTTAAAAAAAAATAACAAAATTTCGAAAATCGGCCCCGATCTGGGCCTCTAAGAAATGACCCAGAATATCTCCGGCATAGATGCAATTTTTTGCCATCATTTTTCATGCTTTTGAATCTCATTTAAAATTATTTTTTTTTTTTTTTTTAAATAAGGAGTTAATTTGGGGCCCCCTTATGTCTGGGCCGCCAGAAAATTGCTCCAAAATATCTCTAGGATATCAGCAATTTTAGCCATCACTTGCCGTGCTTTTAAATCTCATCTAAAATTATTATTTTTTTCTTACAAAATAAACCCCCTCCATAGCACAAGGGTTAGTATTAATGACTTATGTCTTTGGTGAAAAATATTTTTTTTTTTTTCAAAATTCATTAAAAAATCTAAAGGTCTTTGGTTTGAAGCTGTGTCTTGTCGGTTGTCTTTGGTTTTACAAGTAGTTTTCTTTTTTAAGCTAAATTATTTACATTTTTTTGTTTTTCCTTGATGTTATTTTCTTTTTGTCTTTTTTTCCTGTCTTTTGTAAAAAAATCCACAAACATTTACATAAAACTCTCCAAATAATCCATATCAAAATGTTTGGCAAATTCATGATCATCATCATCATCATCATCATCGTGCGGGGCACAGATTGATTGTAGATTTCCATGGCTACCAACATTGGCGACAACAATTTCATTAGCTGTTGCTGTCGTGGCCGAAGTTGTTGGTGTAATGGGCTTTTGTTTTTCCCCACTAATGACAACGATACTAGCCCCAATTGTAGCCGCCGCACTGGTTGCCGTAACAACATCAGCAGCAGTTGTTGCTGTTGACGTTAATGATGTGGTGACGTCACGGTTTGATGTTTTGTTATTGTTGGAATTGCTTTCATCAGGACGATCTGTGTCCATGCAATCAAAGGTTTCGCATAGCAACTTTTTAACATACTCGAATGAAACATATTCGGCTTCATCGGTCGAGTTAGACTCACAGGAATTGGCGATGGTTGTTTCAATGTTCGGTGTTGTTGCCGATTGAGACTCCTGTTGTTGTTGTTGGCCACTAAACGAATTTGTGGCACTCTGTAACATATCACATGCTGTTGTTTCAACCAGATTTGTTTGCTTCTCATTTTGCTGTTGACCATTTGATGTTGCATGGTGTTGTTGTTGTTGCTGTTGCTGCTGTTGCAACATTTGTTGGAATTCATTGATTTGTTGAATACTGGCATTGCTTAGATGGCTGCCATTGCTGCTATTGCTAATCACACTGTCACTGCTGTTGCGACGATTTGTGGCACAACTCAAATTATATGTGGCAACAGCGGCGAACTCCACACCCCCATCTTCGGCTCGGTTATGCTGCTCAATGTTGACCAAACAATTGGACAACTCATTAAAGTTCATTGAATTGCGATTAGCTGCTGCTATTGTTGTGGCCAATTGCAATTGAGGGTCGTTGAGCATATTTTGTTGTTGTTGCAAATTTGTACTGGTCGTTGCTGTTGTATTGTACATATTTATCTTTTGTTTTTCCTGATAATTAGTGTTGGCCAAAGACATTTCACTGCAACTATTGCTTCTTGGCTTTGCCACTGCATTGTTTAAAGGCTTTGCCGGGATTTTAGTTTTTCCCAAAGGTTTTGTTTGCATCAACGATGATTCCGAATGGCGACGAGTTTTTGTTGTTGCTGTGGTTTTCTTGGCCGCCGCAGCCGTTGTTGATTTCCTACGACCCAAGTGACCATTGGCATTGCGTAGGGCATGATTTTTCACATGCTTACGCAAGCTGGAGGGGTCGGTGTAACGTTTCGTACAGCCGGGCAACTGGCAGGCATAGGGTTTCTGGAAGGAGAACATTTAAAAAATATATTATTATTTAAAAGTGAAATTAAAATCAAATTTGTTTATATAATAGAACAAGTTAAAAAGCAGTAAATTCGGCCGGGCTGAACTTTGAATACCCTCCAACATTTGGAACGAATTTGAAAATTTTTAAAAAAATTAAATCCTTAAAAAATTCTGTTAAAATTTTAAAAATATCGAATATAGCCGTTATATTGGGGTCTATAAGATGTGGACCTACATAGACATTGTTCGTCATAAGCCATTACCATATTCAAATTCGAAACTTGAAATAAACGGTGCATAAAATAGCTAAAATCATCAAAATATCGTATATAGGGAGGTACCATTATATCGGAGCTGTGCGAAGACCTGGGCCAGCATAGACAATTTTCTGTCACAGGCTGAAGCATCCATTACGAACTTCAAATACGACATCTCAAACAATTTCGTCGAGTATTGTACCTAAACTCAAAATACCGAATATAGGGAGGTACTGATGTACCTGACTTGGACCTGCATAGACAATTTTCTGTCACAGACTGTAGTTTTACGAACTCTAAATACGTAATTTCAAACAATTCCGGTGAATAACGGCGTTAAAATTATCAAAATACCGCATATTGGAAGGTACCTTTATATGGGGCTATACGAAGACGTGGACCTGCGCAGACAGTTTTCTGTCACACGCTGTGGTATCCATTACGAACTTCAAATACCAAATTTGAAATAATTCCGCTAAATAATGTCGCTAAAATCATCAAAATACCGAATATCGGGAGGTACCGTTATATGGGGGCTATACGAAGACGTGGTCTTGCACAGGTAATTTTCTGTCTTAGGCTGTAGTATTTATTTCGACCTTTAAATACCAAATTTGAAACAATTCCGGTGAATAATGTTGCTAAAATCCGAATACCGAATATCGGGGAGTACCGTTATATGGGGGCTATACGAAGGCGTGGACCTACATGGCCCATTTACGAACTTAACCTGCCTACTGGAAAAATAAACATTTGTGCAAAATTTTAGCCTTCTATCTCAATTCGTTCGAAATATAGCGCGATTACAACAGACAGACGGGCAGACAGACGGACATCACTAAATCGACTTAGAATTTTACGCTGATCAAGAATAGCATAATTATAGTACGCATGTCCACAACCAGATACTTCTCTAAACACAGACACAAACGGAGATCAGAATATCAAATTTCGGTATTCCAGCCCTATCCGTTCATCCAATAGCGAATTTAATACCATTTAGTATGTTTTGTACAAATATAGTACACAATTCAGAACCATCTTCATACCTCAATTCCAAAATCGAACCCTCAATATCAAATTTGAGATTTCCAACTTGATCCCTTCACCCCATACCAAATATAGTACCATTTGGGATTTTTCGTACAAAAAATAGTACGCATTTTCATCCGCTCCGCCAAATCTCAAAGACAGATGTAATCTTAAAATATATTTTTCGAATTCTATCTCTATTCCTTCACCCAATACCAAATATACTAACATTCCGGACTTTTCGTACAATAATGGTACACATTTCCGAGACTACCTCCATATGCCCAGTTAACAAATAACCAACGACCATAATATCTGTCGCCCAATACCAAACAGTACCAAAAATAGTACAATTTAGTGCTATTCTTGCACTTTTAGTACACATTTCAGAAATCACTTCTTTATCATAAGCCTAACACCAACAGGGCCCCCAATTCAAAATTTCAAAATTCCAGCTTCATCCGTTCACCCTAAGCTAAACTTTTCCAAAATGCAGTACCATTTGGTACTTAGTACATTTTTCCAAAATCACCTTCATTAACACCTAATTTCAAAATTAACCTAAATTTCCATTGATGTTTCTCAAAGTATTGTTCCTACTCAGAAATGCCATTCATTCTTTTTTAAACATTGCCTTGATCTGCTGAAAATCTCTTCAAATATTAATTTAAAAAATACTCTCTCTTGAAATAGTTTCACCCTGATATAGGACTTTTAAACCCGAATTCTGAAATTTACCAAAAATCGCCACTACTTAAATATCCAACATATTTGTTGGGTCCTTGTTTTTTTTTTTGACGATCTAGTGCGGCGGAGCTCATCTGATCCAATCGCCATCAAACGCAAGCTTTATAAATGTCAAATGTTAGGAAAATATCCATAAAGGACATAAAACATCATAGGCACATGGTTGTGGTTGTGACCATGAAATCGCTAAAGGGAAATGGGCAATTGCAAACCAGTCCCTCTTCTGTCGGCTTACACTGAGAAAATAATTGGCGCAAATGCCAGCAGAAATTCTCTACGAATTGTAGAGGGAGAAATAATGTTGTACTCTATCTCCTACTAATGTTTTGTTGTGATTGGCATGGTTGCGTCTGAAGTTGAGAGAAAATGAGAGACATTTCTTGGGAAAAATAACAACGAACCAATGCCTTTCTCTTTTATAGCCATGAGAAGGGAGTGCTACTCTCCCATAACTTTTTTCTTCGTCTCTTTTTTTAATTAAAAATATTTTTCTCTATTATTTTTCTCAGTGCATTATTAACGTTGGCCTCGAAGCAAAGCCCCCACTAGCATAAAGTGGCTTTTATGACCATTAGGCCGCAACATTTTTGGAGGATACTCTATGGATTTTAGGGCATTACCAAAAGCATGACCAAACCACATACTCAATCTATTCATCACCAACCCCTCCACTCATGTGTGATTTGTGAATGTCAACCGTTTTCTACAATGCTTCTAACAATCGCAATCTCACAACAATATGTTGCATCAACATCATCTATGCATGTGTGCTGGTTGCATTTATCAGTTTTGGCTAGTTTTTGGTTAGCCCAACATGTCCTCCCCGTAGATGATGATACAAGGACACAAAAAAAAGAAAAAAAGGACACAGTTATGTTTTTCGCCACATATGCAACTATAAATCACTCAGTTGTGATTTCGTGTCTATGTTTGTGTGTGTGTGTGTGCCTGTGAAAATATTCATACAAATGTTTTCTTTCAATTCATTCATATGGAACATGAAAACAACGCAGAAAGAGAAGCGACATGTGAAATGTCATTGGCTCACTAGACAGCCAAACATGTTGCGCATGGTGAGGAGCCTGCAGAATATGTAGAATAGAAAATATTTGGATTTTTTTTGTTGCATGGGATAACAAATGAATGATATGGGATTGGAATAATGGAAAATTTGGAAGAATTGTTTTTAAAGCAAAAAAAAAAATTGGAGTGCAAAAGAAGAATGGAAATCTATCGAAATCGAAATACATTCAAAAATTAATGTGGGATTCCAGATTTTCTATAAAAAAAAAGATATTCTCATATTGTTTGTTTTATTAATTTATACCAATTTTTTTTTGGTTTTTGAAGTATGTCGGAAAAATAAATTGAAATAAAAACTTCTCTAGAGTTCGACTTCAATTTTCCTAAGCTCAACTCGAAAGAAAAAATTATTAAATATCCATCAAAAAATTAGCTTCTCCTTAAAATGGGAAACATTTCAAACAAAAAGTCTGCTGTTCTTATCAAGGAAAAATTTCAAAAAAAAAAAAAAAAAAAAAAAAAAAAATAATAATAATAATAATTTTAACAATAATAGTAATAATAATAATAAAAATAATAATAATAATAATAATAATAATAATAATAATAATAATAATAACAACAATAATGATAATAATAATAATAATAATAATAATAATAATAATAATATAATAATAATAATAATAATAATAATAATAATAATAATAATAATAATAATAATAATAATAATAATAATAATAATAATAATAATAATAATAATAATAATAATAATAATAATAATATAATAATAATAATAATAATAATAATAATAATAATAATAATAATAATAATAATAATAATAATAATAATAATAATAATAATAATAATAATAATAATAATAATAATAATAATAATAATAATAATAATAATAATAATAATAATAATAATAATAATAATAATAATAATAATAATAATAATAATAATAATAGTAATAGTAATAGTAATTATAATAAATCGTTTGTTTTATATATTCTGACATGAAGCTAAATGTAAAACCATAAGATAAAATCCATAAAAAATTATTAAAATTTCCCAGAATTTAAGATTTTATGGAACATATAGGAAAAGAAACGGACAATAATTATTATCCCATGAAAAAAATAAAAGAAACCCAAAAACAATCATTCAAAAATTAGAAATTCTGAGTAGTTGGACTAACTGAACCTTCCAACGGCCCTGGAGCCCAGTGCTGCTCCTATTTGTAAGAATTTGGATTCCATTTCTAAAATCTATTTTTTTTCTCATAATTGTATTTAAATTTAAAAATTTCAACTTACCGTATCATAATGTGTTCTCTGATGTTTTGCCCTGTCAGAGCTATTGCTGAAAGCCTTCAGACATCCTTTGTATTGACAGCCATAGGGACGTTCACCGGTATGTGAACGTTGATGGATTTTCAAGTTTTCCAAACGAGAGAAGGCCTTATTGCAACCGGGGAACTGGAAAATAGAAAACAACATCAATTATAGAAATTATCAAAAAAAAAAAAAAAAAAAAAAATTAAATTAAATAGAAAAAAAAATAATAAAATAAATAATAATAAATTAATTAACTAAATATAAATTAAAAAAATAATAAAAAATAATAAAATAAATAAATTACCTAAATATAAATAAAGCTATATATATTTCTTTTAATTTTGTAGAACTGAATCTAAATGAAAGTCGATACCACATAGAGTTGAATAATTTGGTTCACTAAATGGAACTATGTTTTTCCTTCATTTCTTCCAGCGGAACTATGTCTTACATTTGATATCTGCATGGTAGGTTATCAAGATAACATTGTGCAATCATAATTTTAAATGTGTTTTTCAAAATAACATCATTCATAACATGTCCTTTTTCAAAATGGACATTATTGAACCCATTGTATTGAACCCATGAAAATCAGAGATGGGAACCTGCCTTAAATTTTGACTAGATCAATGTAAGAAATACTGAGATGGATATTCTTATTTGAAATGAGGGTACCCTGAGATAATTATATTATTCATTGAATCTTGTTGCTGTAGGCATAGACAAGTACTCACGAGGAACTCCTTGTGTGGATTTTCAGATAATTCCATTGGGAAATGTGGCTAAAATCGTCAAAATACCGGATATCGGGGGGTAACGTTGTATGGGGGCTATACGATATCATTAACCAATATAAATAACTCTCTGTCAGGGTGTAAAGTGTGTGGAATTTCAGGCAATTCCGTTGACAAATGTGGCTAAAATCATCAAAAAGCCGAATATCGGAGGGTACCGTTATATGGGGGATATACGATATCGTGGACACATATAGACAACTCTCTTTCAGGGGGTGAAATATTCATAAGGAACTCATTGTGTTAAATTTCAGACAATTCCGTTGACAAATGTGGCTATAATCATCAAAATACCGAATATCGGGGGGTACGGTTATATGGGGAATATACGATATTGTAGACCTATATAGACAATTCTCTTTCAGGGGGTGAAATATTCATAAGGAACTCATTGTGTTAAATTTCAGACAATTCAATTGAAAAATGTGGGTAAAATCAGCAAAATACCGAATGTCGGGGGTACCGTTATATGGGGGCTATACGATATCGTGGACCGATATAGCCCATCTTCGAACATGACCTGCCTGCAGAGAAAGAGAGATCTGTGAAAAATTTTAGCTTCCTATCTTCATTCGTTTAGGCTGTAGCGTGATTACAGCAGACGTACAGACGGACGGTCATGGCTAAATCGTCTTAGAATTTTACGCTGATCAAGATTATTTATACTTTGTTGGGTCTGACATGAGTATTTCGAGGAGTTACAAACGGAGTGACAAAGTTAATATACCCTCCATAGTATGGTGGAGGGTATAAGAAGAGTATGGAAGGACTCGTTGAAATTAAATATTGCAATTCCTATGGCATCACTTATTGATAAACGTTTAATCGCAAAGCTTTCTCCAGTGAACCAGATTGAGTAACCTAGTTCATACACCCCATTTAAATGAATCGTTTAATCGAACTAATTCCTTCGTGAACTTCGTACCTTTACTATAAAGTTATTTACATTTATTCCACATTAAAGTGGTGTCACTGTAGCGTTTTTCCGTGTCAATGCTATTAAACCACTCAAATTTTCTGTTGGATAAACGACAAAATTTTTGAAATTTTCCAAGATCGCCTCATACGTAGTTGCCTGCATTACTTTTTTTTTTCTAAATAAACTTTTTTGTAGATATTTTCTAGAGAAAAATGCAATCTTTTTCTATATTTTCCATTGCCTATTTCAAGGAGCCTTCTATAATAAAGACTTGTTGCATATGTTTAGGTTTTATATGAACAAAAATTTGTGAATAACACGACAAATTACGAAAATCTATAATCTGTTTACATAGATTGTAACATAAATCCCTCTTGTCAAATATTTTCGTTCTCTCTTTTCATTTTTTTAATTTTATGTTGAGGTTGTTGCTTTTTCAGGGTTCCTATTTTGTAACTTAATTTTTTTTATTTCATACAACACAGTCAATTTCTGTTTTATTGTCTTATTTTCCTTTACAAAATGATGTCCCCTTTGTGTGTGTGTCATAAAATAAACCGATTTATTTCATTCTATATATAAATGAAATAAATTTGATTTTCGGTTGAAACATAAATAAATAGATTTTATATAGAAAAAAAAAAACAAGAACAACAGCTCAATAGAGGTAGAGTAATAAAAAACTCCAAGCATATAATATTGAATAGAGTGTCCATATTCAATTATTCAGCTTTTAGTTAAATGGCGAAAAATGATTACGTTTATGTTTATTAAATGTCATATTTCTTGTTTTTTTTCCACCATCCACGAAAATAAGTGATTACTTTCATGTACACATACACACACATATATAGTTGTGGATGTTTGTGTTATATAGTTTAATTAAAATTGATAGATTTCATTTCACATCACCATCATCATCGTGAAAAATGTCAATGAAAGTTGATGAATTTGTAAAGTAGAAAAAAATCTATCTACAAATAATGGTCCATTTTTTGCACACATACATACATATATCTTTGAGTGAAAAAAAAATTGATTGCAAATTTAGTAAATATAACAGATTGAATTTCTATTTGAGGCAGGGGTTTTTTATGACAAAACATTTCTAAAAGTTCGCAAAAAAATTATCAAGTGCCAAAAAGAGTAACTTTATTTAAATAGATTTTAAATTTGAATTTCCTTGGTAGGTATATTAAAAAAATGGTAGCTTATTTTTTAGGAATCAAATTATATACAAAATGGTGTATGTAATTTAAGCAAGTGAATTACAAAAAATTTAAAAAAAGCTCAAGGATTAGAGTTCGTTTTTACCAGCAACACAATAAAATGTGCTCCACCAGATATCTAAATCAGATGATATGTCAAAACTAGTTTTCATGTGGTTTAATATTTATCTTTAATATTATATTTTCAATTAAAATAAATAATTTGCTAAACTTATATTCAGCTGTGAAAATAATGTAAACATTTACTGAACTGAGCATTTTACAATTTTAAAAGTTACCAGAGGAAGAATGGTGCATACTTTTAGGCGTCACTTAATTTAAACCCACCATTTAAATGTCACAGTTAAAATTAATTATTAATTGGAATAAAGTTCTACACATGTTTATGGCTGTGGTAACCTCTTGCCCTGTTATTATTTGGGAAAAAAAAATTAAATAATTTCATAACAAACAATTTAGCAACATGAACAACAAAACAATTAAAACAAAAACCACAATCGCCAAATAAATGAAATCGAATATTATTTTGTTTGTTTGCACCATGACCCGCCCGGGGAATGAATTGTGTAATGTTTTGAGTAAGGCAAGGAAACAGAAACCTGATAGGATCAATTTATTAAAAAAAAATAACTGTTGCATACTTTTTGGCTCGTAATAAATTTAAAACAAGTAAAATCTGGAACTAATTTGGTTTAGTTTTCAAAAAAATAAAAAATCTGTTAAAATCTTAAAAATACCGAATGTAGCTGTTACATTAAGGTCTATATGTAACACCTGCATGTAAGGACCTGCATAGGTAACTTTTGTCATAAGCCATTACAATATTCAAATGCGAAACTTAAAAAAATCGGTGCATAATATAGCTGAAATCATCGAAATACCGAATATCGGGAGGTACCGTTATATGGGAGCTATACGAAGACGTAGACTTGCACAGACAATTTTCTGTCTCAGGCTGTAGTATCCATTAACGGACAAGTTTCCGTTCGACCAAATACAAGGATTATATAGTTGAGGAGCAATTTAGTTCTTTTGAATGATTTACTGAAAGGAGCTCTAGAAAATTGACCGATGAACGCAGGAAGGAGCTTTTGGTAGGTCAAGATATACTCATTTAAAATTGTATCCCAAAAAAATGGACGAAGGATGAGTTTGCTTTCGATCACATAGGGTCTTTATATCGGAACAGACCTAGTTCATTTCGAAAATTCACTGAAAGGAGCCGCTGAACTCGATTACCCAAAATGGTTTCCATTGATAAAAAAACGAACGATCCTTCGGCTGAACGATTACCACATCATCGTTAATAAAAACACAAATATCTACATAGGGTCTATAAGTCAGGACAGACCTAGTTCATTTCGAATATTCACTGAAAGGAGCTGCTAAACTCGATTACCTAATATTGTTTATATCGATGAAAAAACGAACGATCCTTCGGCTGGACGATTACCATATCATCTATTTTTTTAAGGCCTAATAAAAAAAATATTTTTCTTTTTTTGTAGAAAAAAACTTTAGGTCCCTCCAGATTATAGGCTATCCTTGGGGAAACAAATCTTACTGGACTGAAAGGTAATTCAATTTTTCATTTCATGGAAAATCCAGTGTCTGGAATATTCGTGTATAATTTCATGAAACTCTATGTATCTGAATCTTAGACTGAGAAGGACGATGAAGGATGTAATCAACCTCTTTATTTCATTTAGGTGTTTCTTTAGGAAATCTTTTAGGAGCACCAAAAATAATATTTTTTTCTTTTATTTTCAAATGACGATTATTGGACTGAATCAGGACTTCAAGGATGTAAAACTATTACTACGATGACCGATTTGTCTTTTATGGTATCGAAAAAAAGGCAAAAATAGTAGATTCTTGCAGGTTATGGAACAGAGCATTTTTGAGATTTTGTTGCTGGAATATATGTTTCCAAAACAAAGGCTATCCAATTCACAACCACAGATTGTTCAATTAAAAAATTAGAATTTTAAAAATTTTAATTCCACTTACCGGACATTTATTGGGTTTTTCACCACTGTGCACACGCATATGTATCAGCAGCTTATAGCGGGCATTGAAAGGTTTATAACGTCGCGGACAATCTACCCAAAAGCAGGAAAAATCTTCACCCCTCTTAACATCGACATGTTTCTTTTCGATGTGGCAGACAAATTCCGCCTGATTGGGGAACTCTTCATTGCAATCGGTCCACAGGCAGACCATGGGTCCTTGAACAAAATCTACCAAGGCTTCCTCGCAGGGCACAATTTGATTGCTCGCTGTTGTAGAACGGCAATTGGAGGAGCGTTTACGTCTCTGTTTTACAGTTTTGGGTTTTTCCACCAGAAATACTTCATCGTTGTCATCAAGGGTGGCGGCGGCGGCAAAAACTTCTTCCTCCACCTCATGGCCCAAAATTTCACCATAATGTTCGAGGCCCTCCTCCTCCTCCTCTTCTTCCTCTTCATCGGTACGTTCGATACTTTGATTGAAGTAGCTATTTTGCTGGTTGGCCATCATCATTTGGGGATTTGTAAAATCATTGATTTCATCCAATTCGTCGATGGTCCAAATCACCTTGTGATCGCGATTGGGTTTTTCCAGATTCAACATGTTGCAGTTTTCAAAATCCTCGGTCAGAGCATTGAAGTTGTTGTAACCCGAAGAGGGGGTGTAGTTGTGCGTTGTACCATTGCAATGATTCTGGCTTGGAGGACTATAGACATGATTGGATCTTTGCTGGGACATTTCATATTCATTGTAGCTGAAACTGTTCAAGGGTTCATATTTAGGCGTGCCAAAGGTGGACATCATGGAGGGTAGTTTCTGGGGATGTTCCTGTTTAATACTTGGCTCATAGGAGGGTTGGTAGTTGGTAGCCTCATAGCTGGTGTTGATGATTTTCGGAGACTCTTGCCTGGCTGGCTGCTGGGGATTTTCGTTTAAATTCAAGGACATCCAAGGATCAAGCGGGGGTGAGGAACAAGGACTTTGTTCTTTGGATTGACAATTGATTTCATCATAGTTATAATATTCAATGTCTAGATTGTAGCCAGGACATTCTGCCATTTGTTGTTGTTGCTGTTGCTGGGCCAAGGCCTGGGCCGAGGTTTGGGGTTCTTGTTGGTATACGCCCCCAGCTTGATGATATTCCATTTGCTGTTGCTGCCCACTGCTGCTGGGTGTAAACGACATATAAGTGGCAGGATATGGTGTATAAGGAGTCTGGGGCGTAAACGGAGTCTGAGGCACCATCATATGGGAACTGCCCTCTCCTGTACCCTCCTCAAACTGGCAATTCTCCGTTAGGCGGGCAATATCCTCGGGCTCAAAACGAAAGACATCTTCACGATTGAAGCTCGAATGGGGTGTGTGGATCACAGGGGCATTTGCGGATTCATATTTCACATCCTCCTCATAACAACTACCCATGGAATGCCTTTTTAAGGTTGGATCTTCATCATCATAATTGATGGACGGTGGTTGGGCCTCAAATTGTAGGCCATTTCCAGTGCCGCAACTGCTGCCATAAATTGAAGTTGGTGTTTCGGCATTGGAAAAAGTGATGTGGGAAAAATCGGGAAAATTCACATCGGCTGTGGAAAAGTCACTGTAACCACAACCACTGTTGTAGGATTTCAGGTGGCACATGGAAGCATGGAAATGATCCTGGGCCTTGGCGGCGCTCAAGGGAGGTGACATGAGATTGCAGTTCAGCGAAGAGTTGGACATACATGTGGTGTCATAAGTGGAATCCTTGGAGGTCTGGCTGCCACACAGGGGTCCTGGGGTATAGGGTGGTGTGGCTGGTGGTGCAATATCATGGAACATTTTCAATGATTTCATCGTGGGAATGCTTAGATTTGGAGTATTAATTTTTAACGAGGAAGACATGGTTTGATTTGCAAGAATTTATTTTTGAAAAAAAAAATCACTTCATAATTTTTGTTTTTTTTTTATGTGGGGCACTGTCTTTTTTTTAAATTTTTATTAATTAATCAAAATTTTTTTTGTCTAGTTTTCACAACCACGCGTTTAATGTCATTTGGTCACACTTTGAAATTAAAACGAAAATCTGCTCACTTTTCACTTGGCTGGTGTGTGAAAATTTCGTATTGTTTTTGGCACATTTGCCAAGTTTTTTTTTTATTTTTTTGCTTTTCTTTGATTGCGTTGACAATTTTCTTGGGAAAACCCCACACATTCGGCTTAGAACAACAACAAATCAAATTATCCGCCACACGAACGAACGGGTGTTTCGAAACTCAAATCACTTGTCTCTTCTTTGACAAAAAAAATCACATCTTTTTTCCTTTTCCTTCTCTACTTTTTTATTTTTTTCTTTTTTTTTTTTTTTTTTTGTCTTTTTAGGAAATCAACGATCTTTTTTTTGAACTCAGATGTCGTCAGTTTTTATTTTGATGTTCTTGATCGCACCACGTTTCGTTTTAGAATAAACCATTAAACTATAAGATGTTCATTATTTAAAGACACGTCTAAGGATCTTCCATTCAAGTGATGGGGGCAGAGCAGCCGTGGCTGCTCTGCTACTGCAGCGATTGGTGCAGCAGATGTCAGATATGTTGCCACTTTACTTGGGCCGCTGTCAGGCCAGCGCAGCAGCAGCGCCACTGAAACGTGTGTTTATGTTAAAAGGCGAAGAAACGAAGGCGGCGGGCATTTCTTGCGTCTCTCCACATCTCAGCTATGTTGACACCAACAACACGCACTTGCCAACACACACACACTCTCTCTCTCTCCACATGATTTTCATCTAGTTTCCTTTTCCAATGGGATCTGCAACATAAGGTAACCCCGGCGCAACAGGGCCGTTGACTGTTGTCACTGTCACTACAGCAGCAGCAGCAGCAACCCAAACGGCAAACGTCTAGCTGTACAGTTTATGGATTTTCCTTTTCTTAATTTCGATTTTTTTTTTTTTTTTTGAAAAAAAAGATTTACATGTGTTCCTTAGTTGTTGTTGTTTTTTCTTAGGATTTGTTTTTGTTGTTGTCGATTTTTTTCATAGTTTATTTATTTAGTAGGTTCTCTAATTGTTTTTTTTTTTTTGAATTTTTATTATTTTTCCTTGTAGCTGCACGGAGTTTGCAATGCATCTGTCCGTCCTGCCATCCATCCGTTTTTTTTTCCTGTCCATATGTATCATCATCAAATTTTATATTTACCGCTGCAGCTCATCTCCGTTTGCAGTTTTATGTTGTTTTTCTAATACAAAGTGATTTGTTTCTTATTTTTGTTGTTGTAAAATTCGGTTTGTTTAGAGTAATTTTTTTTTCGAATTTAGAGAATGAAATTTTCGAGGAACTACCCAATAGGAATTTTGGTAAAGTGCAATTCCTTATATTTTTTTACCCTCCGCCTTGAAAAGGAGGCTATATTAACTTTATCCTTCCGATACAGGCCACATTTTTTGACGTAGAGCTTCAAAATTTAGCAGTATGGTATTGAAAATGAAAATTATATATCGATCCACATTTTGGTATAGCCCCATATAACAGTACCTCCCGAGATTCGGTATCTTGATGATTTATGCCACATTTTTCCTCGAATTTGTCTAAAAATTTGTATTTGTGGGTCATTATGAATTCTAGCTCCGCTGGCAGAATATTGCATATATAGGTCCACCTTTTTTGTATAGCTGCCATACAACGATACCTCCCGATGTTCGGTATTTTGGTGATTTTTGTCACATTTTCACGTATTATTGTCTTCTTGTCTTCTCCTTTCTGCTACCTTCCCCACAAAAGGTCAACATTTTCAAAGAAAATATTCTACCTCATAATATTCTACCATTCTTATGCAAACTATGCAAATCTCAATATTTTTCTCAATACTCAATTATAATTATTCAACATTTTAATCCTTGGTGGGTGAGGTACCAGTCGGAGTCGTCGGATATTTCTTATCTTCACACCAGAACTTGTGTTGGTAGGAAAATTGAGAAATGCTAAATTTTAAAGCACATTTTGAGTTTTACGAGCACAATGTTTATTACAAATTTTTACCCGTCGTGGCGGAGGTAGTAGAAGGAGTGGTCCGGCCTATCCGTTCTTCATATAAGATTTTATGCTCACTTCACGTTTATAACAGTAATATTTATTCAAAACTTTTACCCATTTTGGGGGAGGTACTTGATGGATTGAACCGATATTGCATAAATCGGATGATCCTTTCTCTTACGATGTAAAAAATTTGGACCAAACCGAATACTCCCTTCGTGAGTTATCGTATGTAGCAGCAAGGCAGATAAGAGGATATCCCTAGATCGACTCAAAATGTCCTGAAACGGATTTGGTCCAACGGGACCTAGGGTCTAAAACCGTTATTTCTATGAGGCACTTTTTAATAGTATCAAATGATAGCCGTATGACTGAGGGTATAATTAGGTATATCGGTGTAGGTTTCCCATAGTCCCCATATAACGGTACCTCCCGATAATCAGTTTTTATACCCTACACCACAAGGTGATGTCTTTGTGCATTTGTTTGTAACAGGCAAAAGGAAACGAGATAGACCCATAGTTCCTTCTGACGATCTGCATAGAATCACATTCTGAGTCCATATCCGTCGTCCGTACGTCTGTCCATGTATTTTTGCGAACAGTACAGTTCGCATTTATTACCCGATCCAGATGAAATTTTGCACAAATCATTTGTTTGACTCAGGGACGAACCCTATTGAAATTTGAGATAATCGGTAAAAATTTAGATATAGCTCCTATATATATCTTCGTCCGATTTGCCTTTTATTGTCCACCAAACGTGTAATATCAGCCCTAATAGTGTGGAATTTTGCACATACAACCAAATTAAGCCTGAAAATAAGTATGCCAAGTTTGATCGAAATCGGTTAAGATATAGCTACAACTTCCATATATATTGTTCATCCGATTTGTTATTTTAGTTCTCTGCAGCCGTAATATGCACTATGTAACACAAATATTTGGGGAAATATATCAAATACAGCTCAGAAATACATTTGCTAAATTTTATCGAGATCGGTTCAGATTTGGATATAGCTCCCATATTTAACTTCGTCCGATTTACTTTTTACTGTGCACCAAACGTCTAATATTTACCCAAATGGGATGGAATTTGTCATATCCGACCGAATTGAGTCTAAAGGGAATATGCCAAATTTGGTGAAGATCGGTTCAGATATAGCTATAGCTCCTACACCAGCAAAGTGGTGTAGGATATCATAAAGTCGGCACCGCCCGACTTTACTTGTTTTTTTTATGATTTTAGCCCCATTTTTTCAAAGAAATTGTTTCTAAGTTGGAATTCTAAATTCGAATTAGTTAAGAATTTTGGAAAAAATTGTCTATGTAGTCACGCTCTTATAATTTCAAAATTGGAATTTGAAATTGTCTATGTAGTCACACCCATATAAGGGTACCAGCCACTTTATGATATTTTAAAGTCTTTAACTGCATTCTCCAACCGATTTCCCTGGTAGTTGCTATTTTAAATGCAACTTGTCTCAAATAATGAATCCTGAGAGGAAGGACTTTTCTTATATTTTCGGTCTTTTTTTTATGATTTTAGCCCAATTTTTCGAAAAATTAAAATTTGAATTAGTTTGAAGTTTTTTTCAAAATTGGAAATTGATTCAAAATTGGAATTTTAAATTGTCACTTTAAGTCATTTTAAAGACTTTAACTGCATTCTACAATCGATTTCACTTGCATTTGCTGTTTTAAATGGAACTTGTTTCGAATATTGAATTCTAAATCCAGATGGCTTAAAAATTATTTTTGAAGGACTTTTTGGAAAAAAGTCTTAGACTTGTGGATTAAAAAGTTTTTCCACGACTTTCCGTGAAAATTGTTGATTTTTTGTATCAAATTACTGGTTTTTACAGCCAAATATTTCTTAAAATTATTTTTTCCTGAATTTTTGCCACAGGCTCACATTCCCATATTCCCGAATCATTCATTGTTTAACGACCACCTTAAATAACTAAACTTCCTGTGGAAATTCGCATCTTTGTCAATTGTAATGGAAGAAAAATTCATCATCGAAAGCAGCAGGACATTCAAACACTTAAGAAAATAATAATCGTAAATATTCAATGACAGGTCAGGGGTGTCAAATTACCACTACAACGGGAGAAAGATAAAGTACTTGAAGAGTGCACACATGGATATACGGTCGAGGCAAATTGACAATATTTTCCAAATGTCCAAATGAAATTTAAGGACTTTGAGCGTTTTCTCAATGACCGTCTGACCTGTCAAAAGAAGCACTTTAACTTGTTTAACAAGGACTTCTAATGGCCTTCAATGCTAATGAATCAATAGATAAATGGTGGTGTGCCAAACAAAAAAAAATGAGAAAATGACCAGTCAAACCGGAAGATAAATATTTGGCTTTCTCGGAATATTTACATACACACAGTCCACCTCCATAAACAAATTTCCATTGTCACCGATGGAGGACTCATCATGTTTCATGTTTTCCAATTGCCATTTGAGATTTTTTTCCAATTGACCCATGGCGGCGGTGCACAAGTAGAAGGAGTATCCCGCGAAAAGTGATGGAAAACCAAACAAAAAAGCAACAAATCCACGCAGCACTCCGTTAACTAAACAAATGACAGAGATCTTGGCACACACATGGTGCCTGGTTCGGGTGATGGGTGCATGCTGCATGTGGAGTTGCATGTGCAACATAGCGTGCTTTGGCGTGGCGTTGTTCCTATTTTTTTTTCACATTGGCAGCGATGGTTGTGTTGTTGTTGCCGCTGCTGCCGTTTAGGAAGAAAAAGTTGACGATTTTATGTTTTAATGTTGTTGGGCTGTCGTTTGTTTTGTTGCTTTCCTTGCTGGCCGGCCAGCCCGGCAGTCAGTGAGTTGTGGCAATAACAAACATAGATAGGAACAAAAAAGGGAAATACAAATCTTTTGCAGATTTTGGCCTGTGAGTAGTGAGTGGTGTGCCAGTTGACTGCATGTGTGTGTTGTTTTTGTTATTGTTGCAGTGCATCTATTGTTGTTGTCATCGTTAATGCTGTCGAACTTTAGCACTATTTACTTGGCACAGTGTTTCAAAATGGAAAACAAATTAATTTTGGAAATTCGCATCGTAAATGTACAAAAAGTACTAAATGTACTAAATTTGGTACCATTTCGTATCATGTGAACGGTTACAGATAAAAACTTGAAATTTGGAATGGGAATCAAGGCTGAGGAGTGGAGTCGATGTAAGGAGGTAGTTTTAGAAGTATGTACTCATGTATTCGAAAAGTACTAAACGGTACTGAATTTAGTACAATTTGAATTTGGATGAACGGATTGACCTGGAATCCTGAAA